TGAATTCTTTGAAAATCTTCTTCTCTGCTCCTAGGTATTAAATAAACTAAATAAGTGCATAGTTATGATGAGCAAGAGTGCCTCAACCAAAATTGTGAATTTTATGGTCCCAGGGTCAGGGGTTCTGGTGTTAGGGCAGGGCTCGTTTGATTATATATTGAAAATACATGAATTCTTTGAAAACCTTCTTCTCTGCTCCTAGGAATTAATTATACTAAGTACATAGTTATGATGAGCAAGAATGCCTTTTCTAAAATTGTGAATTTTATGGCCCCAGGGTCAGGGATTCTGGTGTTAGGGACGGGGCTCTATTGATTATATAGTGAAAATACATTAAATCTTTGAAAATTTTCTTCTCTGTCTCTGGGTATGAAGCAGATGAACTACCTATATAGTTATGATGAGCAAGGGCCCTAATCTTGCAGAATTGTGAATTTCAAGGCCCCAGGGTCAAGGATGGGGGGTGGGGGGCTCTCAGACTTATATACTGAAAATGAATTAATTGTTTGAAATCTGCTCCTTTGTATTTATAAAACATTCATTTATTCTTTGATAGGCAATTTTAAGGGTGCCTTTTTAAAATTTGTGTAATGTGTGGACCTAGGGTCAGGGGTTTATGTTAGGGGCACTACTGATTATTGCTGAATATTACTGATTAGTTGGAATGCATTTTTGTTCCCCTACCCTGTGTACGGGTATTCAGTAATCAAGCTAAGCAACTGCTAAGTCTATTGTTATGATGATCAATGGTGCCTCTTTCAAAATTGTGAATGCCATATAGCATCTGGCTTAAAACAGGAATCAAATTCAATAACTGGAAAGTTGTTGCATAATGCTCAGGTGACCTATAAGGCCTGTGGGCCTCTTGCCATTCAGCAGACAAACTTTTTATTTTGAATTTCATAATTTCTGGGTCATGTAGGGATTTGGAATTAGGCCTATAAGGCTCTTCTGAACCAATAAACTATAGCTCTAATATACAATTTCTTTGGGGAAAAAAATCTTCTCTGTCCATGGATATTTACTATGTATATACATACTTTATTCGTCATCGTGCATTAACATTTGAACATTTTCAGCTTCTTCTCAGAAACAGCTGAAAAAACTTCCACCAATTTTGGCATATAGCATCTATGGGTGAAGGGGAACAAAAATTGTGAATTTCATTGTACGTGGGGGTGGAGCCAAAACCACAAAAATTAGTGCAATCTTTAAAAATCTTCTTCTTTACTCCTCCACATCAAGCAGTCAAACTGTTGGTATGATTGTAATCAGCACTGAGTCCTCTACCAAAATTTTGAAATTCATGGTCCCAGGGTCAGGGGTTCTAGTCCTAGGGCGGTGCTTAATAAATTATACAGAGAAAATGCCTTATTTCTTTGAACTTCTTCTTTTCTGCTCCAGGTCAATAAATAAACTAACCAAGTGCATAGTTAAGTTGAACATGACTGCATCTTCCAAAATTGTAAATTTCATGGCCCCAAGGTTAGGGGTTCTAATGCTGGGCGTGGTTACATAGATAATATATAGTGAAAATGCATAAATTCTTTGAAATTCTTCTTCTCTGTTCATGGGCATTAAATAAAACTAACCAAGTGCATAGTTATGTTGAATAAGGCTGCCTCTTCCAAAATTGTGAATTTCATGGCCCCAGGGTCAGGGGTTCTGGTGTTAGGGTGGGGCTCTATTAATTATATAGTGGAAATGCATAAATTCATTGAAATTCTTCTTCTCTGTTGGTGGAAATTAAATACAGTAACCAAGTGTATAGTTATGTTGAATAAGGCTGCCTCTTCCAAAATTGTGAATTTCATGGCCCCTTGGTTTTTGGGGTTCTGGTGTTAGGGGCGGGGCTTTAATGTTTATACATGTATAGTGAAATGCATGAATTCTTTGAAAATATTTTCCTTTGCTCCAGGGTATTATGCCAATGATCTTGGTACATATTTATGATGAAGAAATAGCTGCCTCTTCCAAATGGTCAATTTCCGGTTCCCTAGCTTGGTCAGAGGTACTTGGTGAGATGGCCGGGGTACATAGTCTGAAAATTATTTAATGCTTTGAAATCTGCACTTAAGTATTAATCAACAACATGATAAAAATAGAATTCATAAAATTTCCAAAATTTGGAAGATGTGGCCCCAGGGTCAATGGTTCCCTTGGGATGGGATGCACAACTGATAAAGTGGAAATGCACTTTCTCTTTGTTACTATGATCTACCTCTGGGTAGTAAGTAACCAAAGTAAGCATGCTAAGTGTATAGTTATGATATGCAATGGTGCCTCTTTATGGCCTCTGATTTAAGAATCAAATTCAATTGTTGGAAAGTTGTTACAATATATGATACTCAGGTGACTTATAAGGCCCATGCATGCGCGGATCTAGAGGGGGTCGGGGGGGGGGGGTTCAGGACCCCCCCTGGAATTTACCAGGTTATAAAATGTATATACTAAAACAAGAAAAAAGATACCATGGACCCCCGTTGGAAAACGCTGACCCCTCCCCCCCCCCCCCCCCCCCCCCCCCCCCCCCCCCCGGTATATGTGTGAAATGGGTATGAAAAGTGAAAGATTTGAGGCAATAGAAGTCACCACTTGTGGGTTTGGTAATTGGTCCTTTGTTCAGGAGTACTTATATTAGTTTTGGGGCTCTGTTGGATTATAATGATAATATATGCATTTCTTCGAAAAATATTCATCTCTGTTTCTGAACATTTAAGAGGCAAACACAGCATTAAACAAGCTAATTCAGAGAATTCGTGTCCCCAGCTTAGGGAAAAAGTTGGATCCCCCGACTGAATTTGTAGAATTATTAAATGTATACATGTAATACTGAAGCAAATAAAATACATGTATGTCAATATGCATATAAAGATTTGATTGCTTATTCTTTATTATTTGTATAGGAGATTCTTTTTATATGGAATATTTATCACACTGTAATGATGCTTTTATGAGTTTGTACAAGCCAGACCTCATAATTTTTTTTTCATTTTACATGCTGAATACTATCATTTAGTAAAAAAAAAAGTATTTCGAAAAAAGAAAGAATATGGATTGTCCGGGATTTGAACCCGGGACCCGGGATAGTGTTACACACATAATGTATAAATTTACGACCTTGAACTTTGACCTTTTGACCTTAAAATAAATAGGGCTCTTCCTGAGGCCACAAGGAGTTGTTATGTAAAATTTCATTGCAAAAGCTCAAAGTGTTCTCGAGATATTGCTTGGAAACGAAAGTGTTATAACAGACAGATTTTGCGAATTTATGACCTTGACCCTTTGACCCCAAAATCAATAGGGTTCTTCTGTAGTCCATAGGGAGTTGATACGCAAAATTTCATTGCAAAAGCTCAAATGGTTCTCAATATATCGTGTGGAAACGAAAGCGTTACAGACAGACAGAAAGACAGACGGACGGACAGATGGATAGCTGGACAGACGGACAAGGTGATTCCTATATACCCCCCCAAACTTCGTTTGCGGGGGTATAAAAATTTGTTTTTCAGTCATGTAGTTTCACATCAGTAAAACCTGCTTGCAGTGAACATTTTAGTAATGAAATGACTTTAGCAGCAAAATGACTTTCATTCCCAAGCTTCTAAACATAGTTTGAATTTAAGGGATTATAAAGACTGTGTTTATAATGAAGTAAAATATTATCAGTCCCTGGCACTTTGACATAAGCATGTTTTACTGTATTTCTATACAGGCCAATGAAGGTATTTGTTTTATTGGATCACAGATTTATTTTGAAGCTTATACAATTTGGGTCCTTATTCATTTATTGAAATCTGTAAAAAGGCACTACAAACCTTCCTGCTATGATTTTATTCATGTTTGGTATTCACAAGTATATGACCCAGTCTTTGTCCTTGACCTTTAATTTTAGGATCTGGCATCAAAAGGCTTACCCTAAGTACCCCGGTACCCTGAAAAATAGATGTTTGAAAAGTCAAGTGATACTTTTTAGCTTGTTTCCACAACTTAGTTTTCTCTAATCATTTTGACTTTTGTGTGATTTAACCTCAAATGGATAGCTCTTAGCCGTATGTGTTGAGAATCCTGGCAGATAACATAGCTAGGAGCTATATATACTAGTATATAATTATGATTAAAGGGGCTGGATGGTTGTGGCCATTTTTAGACTACTTTGATCTTCATTAGAGGAAGATCCAAATAACAATATAATAAAATGATCAAATTTTAAAGCTAAAATTTATGAAATTTTTCTTTGCCAAATGATAGTTGATAGCTATAGATATCATATTCCAAAATTTAAGTTATATCTTGTGGTTAATAAAAAAATAATTTGTTGACCCCCTAGCCTGCTACCTACATGTAATATCAATATACTTTTCTCAAGAAGCTATGACAGTGTATCACTCAAGGTCATAGCTCTACATACAGTAGCTACCTTTTTTAATGCATCCCAGCTTTCTTATCATCTACAACCCCTGTAGCAGACACAGGTAAATTGATGCTTTGCAAATCATGACAACACTCTTAAGCTTATTAGCTCCATTAACTTTGACCTTGACATGAATGAACTGTTTCTTTGATAAAGTCCATATCTTTAGTATGTTAAAGACCAACAGGTCAAATTTTGCTTTCCATATTGGGTCCTTAATGCTAGTTTTGTAGTAACATTGACCATATGTCCCTAAAATAAATAGGTTTGTATACCCATGGTTACCTGACACCTTTGCAGCAAGTTTAAGATGGAGAGTGTAACAGGAGAGGAGAAAAATGAGCGCACCTCACTGGAGATTAAGAGGGCCTTAGTTTGAATCCTGCTCTGAACTGCTTAATGATTGAGCTATCTGACCACTGGGGATCAAACCCAGCTGACCGCCACAAAAGATTTAAAATACACTGTAAGTATTAGGATTCATATAAAGAAAAAATTAGTTAGATCTTTAATTTTGTAAGATATATTTCTGTTGATATCAATTATTATCTAATTGGTATTTAAAGAAACTCATCCACTGTTTCACTTTATTTTTTATTTCAATTTATTTTATAAATACATGAACATATTCAAAATATTTATCACAGACAGAAACATCGTAAAAACAGATACTAATATATATAGCCTTCAAAACTCTTTCTGTTTCAAATATTCCATGATCATGAGGACTAAATTATATCTGGAGGGATTTGCCAATAGCTTATAGAAAAACACAGAAATAAGGCTGGGAGATCCTGTTTTAGTAAATATAAATGTGTGTATAAGGCATCTCAAAAAAGTTTCACTGAAAAAGGTGCAAAATAATTTCTGAAATATGTCCAGCACTGTTAGGTCAGTTAATACTAATTGTTCTCTCATTATACAAAAGAGTTCTTAGCTAAGCAAGCCATCACTTATACTCAGTAGAACACATCAGCCTACACTCTCAATGGCAGGCTGCATGGGGGGTAGTCTTTGTGAGGAAGAGGGACGAGAGCCCATTTCAATGTCTGTGATTTCCATTCTAAGTCTTTTAATTTCTAACTTCTGCATGTCAATAATTTTGTTCTTTTCCTCCATTTCGGACTGCATTAGTGCACTGGGTCCTTTGGAGGTGTAAGCAGCCACTGCTGCTGTATCATTCTTGTTCTTCTTGCTGTGCATTCCTAGGGCCGCCTCCAGATCATGGATCTGGGTTCTAGCAATTTTCAGTTCTCTCCTCAAGTCATTGATTTCTTTAATTAATGACACATTTTCCTGCAAGAAAAACATAACATTTCAAATACATGCAAAAACATTTATAAATTGCCATCTACAGTTAAATTTTTCAAAATTTTTTTTATCCTTGGTATTGCAATATCTTAATGGCATACAAACCTGCATGATGCGGACATTATCAGCCCTATGGATTTCGGAATCCTTGGCCAGCTTCTTACGTAGGGAGGCCACAGATCTCTCTAAATGTTCTCTCTGACGACTGTATTCTTTCTGAATATCTGCATCAACACTGGCTGACTCAGTCTGCAAAAGACAATTATTCACACATTGTAAAAGCCAAAAAGCCAATCACATCAAACGATATAAATTTCAACTTTATCAATGCATTAATTAGCTTGTATCAGAGCTTTACAGCACTTACAATATCATCTCTAACGTGTTTGGCATACAAGGCCTTGATGGTCTCCTTCAACATCTTGGGATCCTGAATGTACCCCACACAGTTATGAAGATCTGTTTTGAACTGCTTTAGTTTGGCTTTAATGTCATGCACCTGTAAAAATATATTAATATCAATATGAATGATGTGATAATTTGTCTTATAGGAGTACATGTAATGAAATCAACCTTGTAGCTAAATAATATAACCCAAATTTGTTTATTTCCAACTAATTTTGCATTAATACCTTTTCTCTCTCAAGGTGCATCTCTTTGTCTGTAGCCTTTAATTTCTGGGTCAGTTCCTTGATGCTGAGCTCTAGCTGTGTGTTCTGTTTGTGGAATCTCTCCAACTCACTTTCCATCTACAAAAAGTAAAAGACACAATCAGCGAATGACAACTTTTAATAAAACTGCAGTCAAGTTGTGTGCATATAGAGCTCTCTTTTACCTCTTGAATCTGATCTTTCATTTGTTTGATATCGTTCTCTCTTGGCTCAATCTGTTTCTTTAACTCCTTGATCTTGTAATCCAACACAAACTTGAATTTCTCCAATTCCTGGTTCTTCTTTTTCAAGTCATAAATTCTCTTTTCCTGGAAAAAATAACATCAATTTATTTCTTTGCTGCCAACAACCTTAATTTACACTTCAAAGAATTATTTAGCATACCAATTGATGTTAACAAATTAAGATCTTACTTTGTCTTGGATGGTGTCATCTCTCTCCACGATCTCTTTGCGAAGACCCTGGATATCTTTCTTCATTTTCTCCTTCTCACCATTCAGTTTAGAGACCTCGGATTTGAATCTGTTGATTTCCTCTTTGTGGTCATCAATTTCACGTTGTTGGCTGATGAACTACAACAATGAAATTTTTTTATTAGAAGTGTTTCTAATTCCTCATACTGTATTTCTTGAAAAGAAATCTGCAATCTGTAAATTTCTTTGTTACCTTCTTCTTCATGATGCCAGTCTCTCCTTTGAGTTTGATGTTCTCCTCGCGTTCTCTGCGGAGCTGAATCTCGTAGTTATTTTTGATATCCAGAATCTCCCTGTCAGAATCCTCTTCAATCTGTTTTTTGGTCTCCTCATATTCTTTGTTTTGTTCTCGGGATTCATCATTAGCCTATGATAAAATCAAAAATTAATTTTATGTGCTTTTTGAAATTCAAACTTGGCATTGGGGCTTTTGCCTGTATAATAGTGTTTTTTTTTAAATTCAAGCACATCCTAAAACATTGTTTTGTATGTAATAGAAGCCTTGTTAAATTTTTCCTCTGGGCTGTTCCCTTCCCTCACTCTGGTCTGTACCCTCCCTCCACTCCAGGGTTTACTCTCTCCCCTTACCTGTTCTAGTTTGGCTGTCATCTCCTGTAGCTTGGTCTCGTAGTACTCAGTCTGCCGTTCCATGTCTCGCTGTTTGCTCTCCTCCTTCTCGATCAGCTGACGTTCATACTCCTCCTGCATTTTCATCATCTTACTCTGCATCTCCTGGAACTTCTCATACTCCAACATCAACTTCTGGTTGTTAGCAGACTCTGTCAACAAAAGGCCAATAAACAGTCATTATAAGCACACAACAAAATTGGAAATATGGCACAAGATTTGCCATTGTTACTCTGTGGTACAAAGTACAAGGTATAATCATTCCGTGAAAGAGGTATTTCAGTACTTACCCATATCTTGTGTTTCTTTGGCATGCTTCTCCATGATTTCTTGCATTTCTTCTTCATGTTTCATCTCTTCTTTATCTTTTTCTGTTTTCAGCACCTGGAAGAGAGATGATAACCTTACAATGAATTTTAATGTTATTTTTGAGCCAAATAATGATTTATAGAAGAAAGAAATTTACAGAAACTAATGAAAACCTTCTCTAACATTATGATTATCAGAAAGATAAGATTTAAGGGGAGACAACTTTGTGAAGTAGGCCTGATTGTGAAATTAACTGACCTGATTTTTGGTTTTGAGAGCCTCCATTTCCTGTATGAACTTCTCTGTCAGTTCCTTGATCTTGTCATTATAACTCATATCCTTCAGCCTCAGTTGATACTCATTCTCCGACTTCAGTTCTTCAACACGAGTTTTCAAATCAGCCATCATTGTATTCTACAAAATATACAGTTTGTTAATAAAGTAAAATGTATAAACGTGAGCACAAGTAATAAGATCAAAACTCCTGTTCCATAATACTGAGAAAACTGCAAAATAAAACCTCACCTTCTCCTCTAGATCACTCTTTGTGATCAGAATTTCCTCAGCCCATCCAAAGTCCTTGTCTCTCTTCAACCCACGGCCATCTTTATCCTGAATCTTCCATAGAATGATAGAGGCATCCTCTGCCACAGTGATCAAGTATTGGTCATCATAGGAAATTTTCATCTATAAAGATATATCAATTTTATGTAAAATATTTTTCAACAGGTCGGAGAGAATACTCGAAATCGGGTATTATCTGTGAAATCGCGTATAATACTCGATATTAGGGTATCGTTGAATAAATCGGGTATTCCGTCCAACTTTCTATAAAAACAAAAGAATAAAGCAACGGCGCATTACATCAGTTACTGTTACTTGTACATCAGTATCTTGTGGGTTTATTTTTATTAAACCTAATTCATACGGTTGTCAAATAAGTTTAAAATCACACGACAAACACTGCTGAGGTAAAAAAGAGGACACAATGGCGTTATTATTTTTCAGTATAATTTCTAAAAAACAAATAACTATACACTTCGTTTGTCTTTATCTTTATTTCCCATTAAAGTATTCCATATAATTAATTTTCTAATTTGTGCACTATTCACAAAATGTGAAACTTTTAAGAAATTAAACGACTTACGCCGTGTTATGTATTTTTACTGAAAATGTATGGCGTCCCTTTCAAGTGAAATATAAATTATTCCTAATAGTTAGAGAGTACAGTATAAGTGAGTCATAATTGTATATCTCTGCCATAATGGAATAGAAGAAGAAAATAAAAATAAGATTTAAATAAATACCCACGGGAAAACAGGTTGAAAATAGCTAATTGAAGGTGAGTATCTTATTTTTATGTCAATTTAGTCAAAGACACCGTAAACTTTTTGGTTGCATTTTAATCGATACAAGATATGCTATTTTACCTTTATTTTATGCATTTGTGTGAAAATTCAGAGCGAGAAGTCATATAAACAGGATTTTCTTCTTTTTTTTGGGGGGGGGGGATAAATAAAAGTCAAATGTGTACATCTTTTCATGAGCTTATAATACATTGAATTTCTCAATATAGATCGAGGTACAGTCATATTGAAATATGAATCACATAGTCAAGTTTTCACATTTATTATAGTTTTTACGTTTATGAACATGTTAATGAACAAACTGAAATAATGGAGTGTTCAATTGCCTTGGAAACTCTTGTCTTATTTTTTGGGAATATAATTCCTCATCGGACATTACCAAAATTTCATAAAAATCGTAGCCACTTCCTTTCTTTATTATACTATTTGATAGACAGGGTAAATTTTATCTCTTTACCTTCTACATATTTTTTTATATCGCTATCTTATACCTCATTATAATATGCTAATACAACGCACTATCTGATTGGTTCTATAGGCAATATGTCACAGTTTTCTTTTAGTTATTTTATCTATGATGCTTATTACTCAAGTTACAATAACTTTTCCTAATACTCATCTATAATGAAAAAATGTTTTAAAAAAATAAACATGAATTCTAGTCACTTGTAGTCTCATATTGTGTTAGAAAATAACAGGTCGCTTTTTGTTTGCCTATATGATTTTTATTTGATGAATAAATCTTCCCTACAATTAAAAATATATAACCGAGTTTAACCGACCGTGACATTCAAAGAGAGGTCTCTTGGACACATGTAGAGGTTGGACACATGTAGAGGTTGTTTTGTCAGAGGTGGTCAAGAAGCCTTTAGCCCCCCCCCCCCCTTCTTTGAAGTCGCCAAGAAATGGTAAAATATTGATGACTTAGCAAAATGAAACGATCAATAGTTATGTTCCCTCATAAGCTGTATTCCTGAAACTATCACTGTCTCTGCTAAAATGTTGAAGACATATTCTGCAAATATGTATGAATGATAAGAAAAAAAGATTTTCAGAAAAAGAGAAAGAGGGGTTTTTTAGCCGAAATTTTAGACATTTTTATCATTACATTATTTATACATTCATAAATAAATTTGATTTTATGCACCAGATGAATGTGAAAGTAATTAATGACACATAATTAGATACGATAGAAAATTCTTTGTTTATACATGTATGGCATCATATCTTGTGTGTGAAATGTGTTTCCGTATAATTTGATTTATTTACAAATTGTTCATGTTTGTCGTATTGATGTCGAATTATTATAAATTCCCAAATTCTGATACTTGACAATTCTGTTGTGTTGGGAATGAACATTAGGAAGATGCATTTACTTTCAACATTATGAAAAATATAAAGCAAATCGAACGCCTTTTTGTGTGCAGATCATGAAATGTACTGAGCTTCACGGGTATTTGTTGACCTCGGCGCATTAATCTTGACGCTCAAATTCTTAATTGGCTAGTGATATAGATGAAAAACTCGGCAACATGCGTTAAACTTTTATTAGGTGATTACACCTCCTATACCCGATTTCGCGGTTCAACGACTAATATCGGGTATTATCGGTAGCATTGATGAAAGTTAACTCGGCAACATGCGACATCCCATTGTTAAACTTTTATTAGGTGATTACACCTCCTATACCCGATTTCGCGGATTCAACGATACCCTAATATCGGGTATTATATGCGATTTCACGGATAATACCCGATTTCGAGTATTCTCTCCGACCTGTTCAAGTGGAATAAATATTGTTAGTGGAAACAGAGTTAGCTGTAGCATTTAAAGGGAAATAACTCTTTAAAAACCATTTTTCAAATTTTTCGTAGAGAAGGATTTTCTTTATTGAACCAACAGATAAATTACACATGTACAGATTATAACAGACCTTGGTGATGGCAGCACCATGGCCCTGGTGTTCTGTCCATTCTCCTGGCACATTGAGAGGGAACTTCATAGACCACAGGGTTCCCTTGGTTGTTCCACAGAATAACATACGACCAGAGTGAGACATGGCTATACTGCTCAGTATTGTCTCCTGAGTCTCAACTTGCCTTAGGATCTGCAAAAGATTCAGAAAATTGTATGATATTATTTAAATTTTAAAGGGATTAAAATTTAAGGAAATCATTGAAATCATCTCCCATTTATTAAACTTAGCTTACATTAGCTTCTGCCAATGTGATTTCTTTGAGTGTCTTGTCTGATCCAACAGCAAATGTGTTCTTTCCATCTGGTGAGGTAGCTACACCATAGTAACTGCAGGACTTGAGCACACAGTCACCAGTGCGTTTTCCTGTATACGGATCCCATTCATACACTGCACCATCCATGCCGCAGGACACAATTTTGCTGTCATCAGGGAACCAGGTGATGGCCTTGACCCTTCCACTATGACCTTTCAAGTTGGACACACTTTCAAATGTAGTGGTAGAGAAGATCTGAATGATATTGCTTGTGACAGCTGCGAAAAGATGTCCTCCATTGCTAAATGCACACTATAAGAAAGAATACCATAACACTGAGATTTCAATACCATTTTCAATTAGAATAAAAGAAAAGAAAATGTACAATCAAAATGCTGAATTCAAAAAACAGTTTTTTTTCATTCAGACTACAATAATCCTCATTACCTCTTTGCATGTGCGCATTGGGAATTCTTTGAATGTTCTAATGTCATCTATCAGTAAGTTCATCAACCTAAGCTTGTCACTGAATCCAACAAGAATATACAAGCCAGATGGATGAAGAGCAATACTCAAGGCCTCCTCAGGGAATTCTCTGTACAACTCCAGATTGCTATAAAAACCAATAAATGCAAGGTAAATATGACACAATAATAGAAGCAATTCTATTTTTGTTTGAACCAGTGATACAGAATGGCTTTTAAGATATAAAATTCATTAACTTTATTTCTTACCAGGTTTCATAGTTCCAGATTCTGACAGATTTGTCAGATGAACATGTGGCAATTAGAGGTTTTCTGATGCAGACATCCAAACCCAAAACTTGTCCATTGTGGAATGACTGGGCCAAAGTCTCAAAGTAAATCTGGTCTCCATCACTCTGTAAAAAGGCATCGAGTACAGATTATCATTTCTAATTTGTTTACATTATTTTTGGAAAGAAATTCAAATGACAACAAAAAAGAAATCTCAATTGTATGATAAGATTGTAGACCTTTTTAGCTAGATTGCCTTTGATACATTCTTCATAGTTCTAGAAACATTCTTTGTACACCTCGCAATTTCTTTAAAAGATAAGTTTGTACTTACTCTTCCGAGATCTGCGCTTGGTAGGGTGATGTAGTAGAGCTGACTCTGGTTGGTGCTGGCGACCAGTGTCTCCTCGGAAGGGCTGACCGTCAGACAAGTGATGACCTGTCTCTGAGCACTGGCAGGGTCAGCACTGTTACTGTCAGGGGGAATCTGGGGAGAAAAGGGGATTTTTGTATTTAATTTCTCTTCATATTCAATCTTTCAATTATTTCTTTAAAAAAATCAATGTCAGAGAAATTATTGAAACTGCATAGCTTTATATATGCTGATGCTTAATATACGTGTACCTTGATTTCTCTTGTTTTCTTGAAGTATTCTTTATCATCAGTTTTCTCATACAGATGCACTGTACCAGGTCCACATGCACAAGCAAATCCCTTGGAGTAGGCAACAATGGCAGTGACTTGTGGGATTATGGTGGCCAAAGCATCATTTTCTTCATCACCTGTTTTCCTACAAATCCACATCAATAACATTGCCATAAATTTTTATTTAAATGTACTTTTCATAAATTTCAAATTGAAAAGTCTCATGTATTACGTGTAGTATAAAATCAGCATGATAGATACACTAACTTTTCATCTTTGTGTTGCACAGGGGTAAATTCATTTTTAGCTTCACCCTGCTCAAACAAGAACAAGTGACCAGTATCAGTTCCAACCACGACTCTCTCGTCAGATACCCAGGCATGACACAGATAGTTGTGTGCTTCCATCTTCTGGAAGTTCAGGAATGGTTTCAAAGCTCCCTCATGGTATCTAAAGTGTTTGAAGATTCCATTTCCGACAACACAGAGCTGTGTGTTATCTTGAGGATTGAAGCTAACCTGCAAAGATAACACAGAAACATTGATATTTAAATATGAGACATCTGAAATACGAGTTTCTAAGAATTATCAACCAGACAGTGTTGACTTAAAAAATATTTGTAATTAACTTACTTGATAGACTGGAGCATTAGTGTTGGGATTTGATGTCTTTTGTACAGCCATAACTTTACTCTTTTCCCATGTCCAATACAATAGTGTGTAGTCAGGTTTTCCTCCCTGTGCCACCAGATATTTGGAGTCTGGTGAAAAAGCCAAGCTGACATACTCCGTTGATTTGACAAACTCCGCTGAGCTTAATACCTTTCTTTTACGAAGACTATGCAAATCATAAATGGTAATGACAGGTTTCTCCCCCTTTTCTGCAATGGCAACATATCTGCGATTTGGACTGACAGTCAATGCTGTCATACCCTCACTTCCCGGTGTTCCAGCAATAAATTTCTGTGATTTCTGATCGATGTTGTACAGGATGCAGTTAGCTCCCGCAGGATAAACAATGGTTTGTTCATCATGGTAGCAAATGTTGCCAGTGACACCTTGCTTCAGGCCAAAAATGTGCCTGGCCATTGCCACGGCAATCGACATCTTGAATGTTTTTTTTTGTTAAGCCCCTCTCTAGACTAAGATAAAAAGAATATTCTTTTTAAAATGCAAAAATACAATCTCTCACAAAATAGTCACAATTTCATGAGTATCTTATTTTGCCATTAAAAATTAAGGTAAGTGCAAAAAAACTAACTGCAAGGTATTAATTGAAATTTGAAAGTTGATACAATTCTCTTTATGAGTAACTTTAAAAAATGCACCTAGTTCCAGTTTTTCACTGCATATGAGGTCTAACATAAGTGCTTGTCAGGTAAATTGAACGGTAAAAACGATAAAAAAACATTGAAATAAATATGAGTTATCAATATTTTGGATCAGAGTTATGTGCTACTTACTAATCAGTTGTGATTTATAAAATAAAACAACTCTCTACCGAGAAAATCTACTTACTTAGATCTCTGTGTATGTATGTCAACCTATTGTAATTGTGGTTGCTGTTGGAAACGCTCCGCACAAATTATGACTTCCGGTAATACGGACTTTAATAAAATAAATAAATTCTTGTTTGGCTATGCAGTTTATCTAAAAATTATTTTTACATTAACCTTTAAAATTATTGGGTTGTGCAATTGTTAAGGATTTTATATTTAATTTTTAAAAATGAGAATTTAGAACAGGGTAATTTTAGATCCAATGAGGTACTATTCCGGAACAAATATTAGATCATTACATAATTGATAAATTCAAAATCAATTCGTCTACTTATAATGTCATTTTCATAATTTGGGCTTTATTCATAAGACTTATTTATAATTTGACTGACTTTCATCCTGTTTTGATACAATAATCTTTATTTTCCTAGACGAGCTAAATCCGTCATTGGTTCAAACTTTACATTCGAAAAAGAAAATGGCAGCCTCCATACTGCAGGGTCGTTTTTCGAGAGCATTTACTGTTTGTGGCACAAGAAATGGATTTACACAACTTTCTTACAGTTTTGCAAGCAATTACACGCTTGATAATTACGATGAACTAGAAGAAAATGTCGAGGAAACCATAAAAGACATTCGCGACGTTAGTCGTTTACCAGAGAGGTTGAAGGTTAAACTAAAAAAGAATACACTGAATGCCATACCGGCACCTGAATATATCCCATCACACATGACAGGGAAACCCAAAGACATTCGACGATTTCAGAGGAAAACTTTTGCAAAATATGGTCGTAGATACAAAATAAATCCTGGAAGTTTGTGGCCAACAGAGGAGGATTTGGCGAAAGAAAAACTGAGAGACAGTTATTTTGACCCTCCATTAGAGGAAAGTTTAGAAAAAATTCGATTATCCAAGGAAGAAAAAGAAGAGACAAGACGCAAAAGGTAAACAATTCAATTCATTATCTGAAACATTAGGGATGTGCGATTTTATCGGAATACCGATATATCGCGATTTTTTGTTGCATGATACGTATCGTGATACGGATACCTAAATACCGGTCTTTAGGTACATATTATAAAGTACATAAATTATTCATTTATTTGTTCAATCTTTCAAATTACAATTACAGAAATTATAAAAAATGTTGTAAAAATTGAAAAGAACTTCATCTTACCGTCCAAACATATTTGATTTTATATACATAAAAATTTCATGAAAGTAAAATTTTGTTTTTCTAGCATATTTTTTAGAAAAATGATGACTTTTCATATAAAATCATTGTATTGTGGGAAAAACTTGTGATATATCGCGATACAAAATTTGTGGCGATACCCATCCCTATGAAACATAAAGGTTCAGGAGAAATTTATGCTTTAACAGAAATATATGGCAAAAACTAACAGTATACCCGAATCCACACTTTGAAAAAATAGTCTCCCTTTGCCGGGTCAATCAAAAGGGAAAGAAATGATATTTCTCCTCTTAATGCTTCCAAACATTTGGGCCTGCTCCAACAAATCCACTAATTTTTCTCTCGATATATGGGTAGCCCCATCTTGAGGCAGTCTAAACAAGATGCACATTATTTTTCTAGTCAGATGATAAAGTTACAAGCCAGAAAACCATAAAGGCTACTGTGAGGATTCTATGGATTTTTCCCACAGATGGTGGCCAAGGGACATAACTTTTTCAAAAATTTAGATTCAACAATTCATGCTCTAAAGTCCATTCAAACAATATAAACCAGGAGGAGAGGAAACATAGACTTCTAAAACATCCCAAAGATGGGATCAAGTGGCACGGAGGAGTGAGCATCCCCTGCCAAATGGTCACACCATCACCAGCTATGTGCTCTTTGTCATGTTTGGGAAATAATGACCTAACAAATGCTATGAAAAAGTCAGCTAACCTCTGATTCTAAAGAATTCCAGTCAAGGTTTTACATTTCATATGGCAACAAATTGATATCTTAATCTGATATTTCTCTAACCCCTGCTTTTATTTTGTGACATGTGTATGTCACAATGTAAAAGCATGGGGTTAGAATCAGAGGAATTTCAGATTTATTTTATCTCAGGCTCTAAGTCAGATTCATTGCGAGTTTGAGACTAAAAATTTTGTATGGACATATTGTTTTCCAAATTTCAGATCAGTACCATATAAAGTGATTTAGGAAATCTTACCCAAACTTTGATCTCTTGTTACAATTTGAGTGGGTAGAATTGAATATTCCATGCCCTCTAAAAAATTTTTTTAACTCCCCATCACTCTAAAACTTGTGTTTATTACCTTTACAAGCTTTAATTCTAACCTAAATTCAGGTTGAGAATAAGATTTTTCGTAGTATTGACATATTTGCTTAAACCTTTGACACTAAAGAATTCCAGTCAAGGCCCTGCTTCAAATACTTTATACTGTATTATGGTTCTTTTTAACTAATTCATACTTAGTAGAAACTATCCCCCCCCCTTTTTAACCTCAGATTGTCAGTGCAATTTAATGACATATGTTGCGAGTGCATTTCACACCGAGATATATAATAACATCATGCTTAGAAGCTTCTGTTAACTGGAAATCACTAAAACTATTGATTATACCCCACGCAACAAGTTACTTGAGGTACATGTATTATGTTTTTGACCCATCCGTCAGTCAGTCAGTCAGTCAGAGTGTCAGTCAGTCAGTACGTCAGTCTTGTTTTTTTGTCAGCAAACTTTGCAGCTATTTAGGACACAATGTATAGATGTGTATATTA